TACGATCACCCCGAGGTCCACAGCCGAGGAGCCTAACGGGAGCTAGGGGACCGAGTTCCCGAATTAACGTTTACTTACCCTCGTGTCAGGTCTTAGTACATAGTCTTAGGTACCCACTGAACTGGACTGTCAAGTGACGCTATCCGCACAGTAAGTGTGCAGTCTGAGAGAGAGAGAGAGAGTGAGTGAATCGACAAATGAATCGTAACTGGACGCACCAGGGTAGTTTGAGTCCGTCACAAAGCTAAGTTCTCTGTTATGAGCTGTTGTACCAATGTGTCCGCCAAAAAACAACAACGCATGAAGTCAACTTGAGAGAACTTGATACCCACCCACCCCAAAAAAATTGACTGACTTGATACGCAATCTGTAAGGATTGCACTAATTTGGTATGGGGCTCAAGCAGTCATTCTGTGAGCGGGTGTTCAGTTAATACGCTTCATCATGGACTATTTGGAGCCCGGATTTTTCCCAGAGAAATTAGTTACGGGCGGCAGACCACTTCGGTTTGGGTGTAATACGGACCTGGGCTAGAAGTGTTCTGTCGTGATACAACTTACATCTCTTTGGTTATCATCGTACAACAGAATACGATGAATTTTGTTGCACAGATCGCTGTCAAATTCGCCATGCATATACGGCACGTGAGAATGAGAGGAATCGAGTGTTTTTTGAGGAAGAGGAAAAGTGAGCGAAACACTATTGCAAACATACCGAGACCATNACTGCGAATGGGAGCGGGTCGATGCCGTCGGACACAGCATGCGCTCGACCGATGAACGATAAACAACTTTGCAGTTGCTCCTCGATTAAACAACCCTAGACCATCCTTGTGGAATGACCGTCATCATCGTACACGGAGTGCCAGCGCAACGAACTGTACCGATTGCTAGCCAACTCACAATTAGCACAAAGTAAGCACGAATACGTAGGAGATGGAGGATGACCAGTAGGTGTGTTTTGATGGAAGAGATAAGAAGATGAACCTCTACACGAGCACTCAATAAACTGACAACACACGATCTAACTGTGCATACACATTGTCAACAGAAACGTCACTACACTGTCGATTCGCTCCCATGTCATCCCGTGTTCCCAATCGATCAGTTACAGAATTTCTTGGATCCCAATTTGAGAGATGGTAGACTTACTCTGTCTAATCGCTTTGTGTTGTGCCTCGTCTCCACGTTATCTGTTAATCTTCAAGTGGTCTTCTCCGACCTGGAACGGCAATTGTAAATATAGGGTACCGTGCTTTCGGTAGACGACCGTTAGGCGTACGAAAAACAAAGCCTTTTGAACCACATGAATGCGATTTTATGACGAAATTTCCACCGGTGCATTCTCCAAACCCGACGATTTTATCTCAAGTTTCCTATCCCGCTCATTCTCCACCTCTTATTTGCACCTTCAGTGGGACGAATGTGTTCTACTCGCAGATTTCAAGTCTCACAGCGATAAGGCATAATCAACAGAGTAGTTGCACAATATACGCGACAATTTAGTGCCAACAAATTACAAGGTCTGCGTGAACGGCGCTTTAGTCATGCATAAATTTGGCTTGTTCAGGAAGGCTCGAAAGAGTTCCGTACAACAAAATTTATAGTGGTAATGAGTTGATACATGGTGGACGGTGATTCCCCGCTGGCTGATTCATCATTTGATCGATACGGATTCAACTCCGGGGTGCACTTATTTCTCTGTTAGTGTGAAAGATTTCCTTAACAGCTCTTGAATTGATTGTCGTTTTATATATTGTAAAGTGTCTTACTGAGGTGTTTCGGTCTCCGTTAAATTGAGTTAGCTCGCCTGTTGGTTTGTCACAGTGTGACTCCTTACGCATGCATGTCTTATGTACAGGTGACAAATTGATTATTGCTAGGGACCGAAGTAGTATTTAGTATTTAAGAGCTTCGAAAGAGAAGTAGAGGAGGACGTCAGATAGAAACGTAATGCAACGGCAGTATAGTGTGGTTGTTTGCAAAGCGTCTTTTTACTTACGTTGTGTGACATAAGCTGCATTGTTGAATTTCCTTTACGGGAAGATGTGCGTATCCGTGACAGAGACCCAATGGAGGATAGGTTCCTGAGTCTGATTTCTTGTTCGCTCGCGAAAACGAAAAGCCGACACCCGGAGCTATAAACCGGTCGACGAACCACTGACAGTTCACGCAGGGGAATTGACTAAAAACCCTGATTTCAAATCAATTAAAAGTAGGCGTACGAACCACACCTTCCTGGTTATGACAGTCAGTCACCAACTCAATTGGACATCAAGGTGTATTGGGCACCTTGGACGTTTGATCCCATCTATGGGCTCCGAAATCCAATGGATTGCAGTTTTCACACACCGCCCCCTCCCCCGTTGCGTTGTGGATCAGGCTTCGGCTGGCTGAAGGCTCCGGTTGTGAACTCCCTGGGAAAATTCACCTGCTTTGGCTTGGGCAACCTAACAGTATCGTGTCCTCGAGCGAATCAGAAACCTTTGGCACACAGTCTGAACTCAGGTGTGTGTGTGAAAATATACGTACATACATACATAAACTAAACGTGAACTGAGAAGTTAGGAAAGGCTGTATCGCCGTTTGGATTTGCGTTTCATCAGCATTGCAGCTACTATTATTATTAGTAGTAGTAGTAATAATACAAATGTGTTTCCAGTCCGAATGACTTATCTTATTTTCACACACACACACACACACACACACACACACACACACACACACACACACACACACACACACACACACNGGAAAGTGCGTACCAGTATGCAACAGAATCGATAGTGATGGTACATGTGACTACTATCGATCGAAATACCCAAACTGGGCATCTAATGACAAGCCAATTGCAGAAGAGTAGGCAGGTGCATATGTGTGCGCGAACATCATACAGACCAACCGGAAAACAAGTGATCGATTGATATACCCCATTGTTAAGATAATACAAAATGATGCCATTCATTCTCGGGATTGCGCAGGCGGGGAGTGGAGATACGCGATAGATCTTTGTATTTAGTTAGCGTTGGTTGAATAGTGTTGACACGAATCGCAATTCTTGTAGCCCGATCAGCCTCGTGATCAGTTGTCACTCCCGTTGCTCTTTTGACACGTCTGCTAACCACACACACACACACACCGCAGCCACCTACTTATCATCATCATCACCTACCGCATATTTCCATTCCATTCCCAATGTCTGATCCTTCCCGTTGTTCAACATTCATATTCTGACTGGGCGTGTATTACACAAATACATGACGCCTACACACTCTGTGGGGTAGGGGCACAAACACACACACACACACACACATTGAATGTGATTGACTGACGGCAAAGCTTGTAAACAGACTGATCGGTCGACACCTGTTTTCCAGATGTGTCGACATTTTTTGCATGATCCCCGAAAACCGGTTCGCTGGTTTGAATTACGGAGAGAGAAAAAGGGGACCTTGTTCATCAGATATCTACTACAATCCAAGAAGGACGGATTTCATTCTATGACGAACGAGATGGGCATCGCTTGAAACTAACTGGCCTATTTACCTGGTTACCTTATCGGGTTGTATTCAACTTAACTTAACTTAACTTAACGCTCGTTTTCTGACCCATGTCACTGAATAATCTGTGAGTAAAGATTACATATGGGATAGGTTAAAGGGTCAATATGTGCTCAGCACCTGGGTCGAGTGAACACTGTCCGAGTGAGGTGTGATCCGATTGACTGGGGTGTGTATTCCAAACTCTATGTCAGTTTGGATATTGCGCTCGTTTGGTGAGAAGATTCGACCAAATCACCTCGTCCTAGAGATACGGAACAGAATAGCGAGACAATTTACAACAAACACTAAGCAAATGATTACAGAGCTACTCAGATAGGACTTCTACCTCGTTCACCAACACACACACACACACACACAAACTCCAGGTGGGCAATCAATGCCAGAAGAAGAAGCAATTTGTGGCGAGGATGGGGGGTGGGACAGGACAGAGACATACGGTCAAAAATTTCCGAGGGTAAACAATCATGTTTCATTGGGTTTTATTTGCTCGGTGTGGCCAAGACACAAGAGGAGGAGCCAGACAAACACCGGTCGGACGAAAGAAGGGGGTAATCTTGACCGAGGTGTAAGCAAAAAAAGACTTGCACAAGTCTTTCATAATAAAAAAAACCAAAATACAAAACTAATCTCTCCATTCATCCTTTTCTGAAGCACAGATACGTGCGTGTGCGCGCACACACCAAGCTTGCCGAGACCAATCGTCAAAGCAGAATAACATGTGACGCTTAAACGGAACGGCGATGATCCAGGTAGGAAAAAGAACCACAACACGATTTGACTGTTGCAGGAGCTCGTTTGTGGTTTGTGTTTCTTTGTCGTTTCCCAGGGAAAGATGGTTTTCCAAATGGGTACCTAAAACCTTAGGGCACGGCATACTTCGCGGCAGCCCAAACCGACGAAGGGTTTTTTTGGAACTCTAACCGACGCCTTCGACTGCCCACAAGGCAGTGGGGTGTAAATTCAACGCGGGAGTGCGAGCGAAGCACCCGTAAGCTTCACAAGAGACCTGTCACGCAAGGCCTTTGAATTTCGATTAACTGTGCTGTTCGCCGGTGCGTTGACTGTCGGTCCGCCTTTCGGGATCGGCCCTGGGCCTCATGCACTCAATGAGACAAGCGGAACGTGGACGGGACAGCACCTAATTGGCTGGGGGCTGCCCAGCTTGGGCGGGTTATAGCTATCCAATGAAGCGCGAAGACTTCTCCCACCGTCGAGATGAAGCCCCAGGTACCCCGCTCCTACGTCCGTCTCGCGGGGGTTTTTTGACCGGTAAACTGCCCCCCCCCATCGTGTTTATTTGCTTGAGTGACCTATCCAGGGGCGGATGTGGATAAATGAAGGAGGCCAGGAGGTGCCCGTTGACCTTCCAGGCATAACTGGATCTACGGCTGTGAAAAGCCATCCTGTGTAGCTCACAGGGTCATGGAGGCACGCAAGCCATCACACCACGTCAAGGTGCAATGCCCCGTCGTGATGGCCTATGGTGTTTGAAGTTATTCACCGATGTATTGAGTTATTTGCATTAGTCATTTTGAATTCACGGGAACCGAACTGTGTACCATTCAATGCTCTTTTTATTACACACATTTGTGTGATGAACAGCAGACGGGTTGAACCCCGTAGTCACGAGAACCTGCTATTCAGTGATGGAAACCGGTAACCTAAGCTCCACTGGACTTGGAGTGGCGAACCACATAGGGAGTGGTATTGAACCGGACGAAAGTAAAGCTGTCTACACTACCAAAGTTGGGTGGCGGTGGCGGGGCTTGAACCTCGAACCACAGCGTCCAAAGCATGCCGAGGACATTGACTAAACCACTGCGCCAGAACGACTGCTGTCAACAACGGATTAAGAACAGCAACACGGCCGACGGCGGAAAGAGACCCAGTCGAGGAACAATTCCTGAATGTGGACAATCATTTTCTGAACCAGTTTGCCTACACTCGGTTCAAGATGACGGGGTAGGGGAAACGAACCCTGGGCAGCGCGCAATCCGAAAAGGAGGCACTGTACGGAGCTTCTATCGAATGCTTTCCGCGGACGGTATAAACCAACCTGATCACACATACAATTCGGCTGCTTGTAAAAACACACTGATGTGCATTTTATCTCCGGTCAATGTGTGGAATAAAGACCTCTACCCACCCCCTAACCCCGTTTCGCTAATATCAAGTACAACTATTTTAACTGCACAGCAGGAGCACCTGGTAAGTAATCCCGGGAGCCGATAACGTGGACCGAAGCACATGAAGAAGAAAATTTGACCACAGATAAATAAAATAACCGAGTTGTTGGACAAAAAAACCGAACCAAAAAACGGAGTATTCCAACGAGATAGTTTTAGTTTCAGTTCACTGCGACGCTGGCTCCTTGAAAAGGATAGGCCGATTCAAGACAAGACCAAGATCATGGAGTTACTTGGAAGTTTGGTATGAGAGATCTCCTCGGCGTCACTCGGCGTTTTTGTTTATTTTGAGGGAACATCTTTAGCTTTTGCATACAACCAAGTGTGAACTGCAAGGCGGCAGGACGTAATCCCTCGCCGCTCAAT